ACTTACAAATTATGAAATAAAAATTTATTTGGAGTCCATCTGTCTCGGATGGTTGATAAATTTGGACTATTGGAACAAGTACGAGAAGATGATCTGAAAGGAGGTAACGCATGCGTTGACGTTGGAGTTTTTTTTAAGAAGCTGGGAAATTTGAATATGAGAACAAGCTTATTTTATAAATTTAGTGAAATATCTAAAGTTATTCAAATCATTAATGTCATTCATAAGGCGATTATTGTAATTGTTGATGTAATATTCTTCTAAAAGGTCTAACTCCTTAGATTTGTGAACATTTCTGACAAGTTTTAAATTATTGATATCTATTTTATGATTAAAGTTGTGAATATGTTTGTAAACAGCTGAGTTATCCTTCGTTAAATGTTCCTTGAATCTTGTTTGTATATTACTACCCGTTTGACCAATGTATAACATGTCACATTCTAAACATTTTATTTCAATGTTTGTTATTGAAAAGGTGGTTGTAAATTTTATTTTCGGATTTAAAAGAAGCTGTAATGTCATATCTAGATAAGTTGCGGTTAAGTGATTTAGTCAAAGAAGGTTGATAAGGTATAGATAAGAATTTTTGTGTATATTTGTTGTGTGGGTATACTATTTTATTAATGTGTGAATTGTGGACATTGAAATATATGAAAATAATTAAATTTATATTTATGCTTTTATTGATAAATTGTGTTCGCATGCTGTCTTGCGCAAGACAGCATGCGAACACATAGCACGCCATTTTCTACAATTTGTTCGCTCCCGAGAGAAAAACAAATAGTAATCCAGCTCAATAAATATTAATGTTTGAAATAATTCCTGCAGGAAACACCTTAGCTCTACCAAAAAAGAAACCAATATTTTTATGTACCTACTACATAACATAACCAAAAAGGACGAAAGCCTCCGAAGATGGCGTAAATCGCCGAAACGCGTCAGGCAGAGTGTATAACTTAATTTATCAATAAAAGCATAAATATAAATTTAATTATTTTCATATACATATTGATAATAAGGATCCACATCATGAATTGAAATATATGTTTTGCATTTCGGCGATAGTGAAATTATTGTTTATTCCTATTTTAATAATTTTTTGAATTTCTGAGATGGTATCTCGCTCATTAAGGGGTACATTGTACAATCTATTAAAGAAAAATCTAAAACTCGCTGTTTTATGTTGATAACAGGTAAATGAGTTATTTGGAATAATATTATCTGAGGTGGTTGGTTTTCGGAAAATATTGTATTGTAAAATATTATCTGTATTGTTTCTAATAATTTGAAGGTCAAGAAAATTAAGTGTGTTATTGTTTTCTTTTTCAATAGTGAATTGCAGATTATTTATATTATTGAAGATATTGTGTAACGCGGATAATTTAGCATAGTTACCATTAAAAATAATAAAAATATCGTCAACATATCTAGCGTAAAAAGCAATTTCTTTGGTAAATAAAATGTATTTATTTGAGGGGGAAATTCTGTTTACATGTTAAGCGAAGTAATTCCATAAAACAGTTTATCTCCATGATATTGAAGTTAGAGGAGTCCTGAGATTCGATTAGATGTTTTTTAATTATTTCCAGGGTTTGCTCTATTGGTACATTAGCATAGAGATTTTTGATGTCGAGCGATATTAGTTTACTATTATGATTAAGTTTTATATTATTTTTCAGTTTATGAATCAATTCTGTAGAATTTTTAATGGTGTAGTTAATTTTGTTTCGGAAAAGATTGAAAAGAAATTTCTGAATGTTTTTAGAAACTTTACTAGTGGGCGTATTTAAGTTACTAATGATCGGTCTAATACTTTTTTCTTTCTTGTGTAGTTTTATGAGGATTTTTAGGGTCGGAATTAGGGGGTTCATTTGTAAAGATTTAAAACAATTAATGTTAAATTTTGTTAAAAGAGTAGAGTTTTCTCTTATGAATTTTCTGAGTTGATCATTGAAGGTTTTGGTGGGGTTAGACTTAATTTTATAAATGTTGTTCTCCTTGAAAAAGTCAAAAGTCTTGGAAATATAAGCGCCTTTGTCACCCAAGGTAACTACTAAATTATTGTCTGTAATTTTAGACTTTAATGATTTAATATTATTATATAAGGTTTTAAGATTTTTGAAATGAACTGAGTGGCTTACAGCAGTAGAGGATTCATCAACGTAAATACTGATGGTGGAGGATAATCCATTCAACTGCAACAAAACTCGCATTAAATTTATTAATGAGTCAAAAGAAGGGCTTAACAGCTCATTTCTTTTAAGTTTTATGTGCGGGATAAAAAAGAAGCTTTATACTGAAGAAAGCAAAGAGTCTATTGAGATAAACTCTGCCGTTGTTTATGTTATCTGTCGGTACCGGATATACACAGACTGAAGAATTATTGTTATGTGTGGATATACCATTTATGTTATCAAAAACACTCCAAAAATATCAAGAAACCGTAAGTGACAAAATCATGGATTAAGCATGGAAGTCTATGAAGAACGCAGGTGAAGAAGAATTTAATTTAGTTACAGCTTCCGGAGAAGTAAATAATGACTGAATTCCTATGATAACCTTAATTGCAGATGCCTGGTGTAAACGCTAAACGCTCGAACAACGTCAATTACGATGCATCATCCGGAGTGGTACTGCTATAAAATAATTGTATACAATAAAATAAAATACTTGTGTATACAGGGTAATTCAGGTAGGTAGCGAAAGCCGATCAGGGTTATGTTGCTAATGATAATGATAGCAATTCGGTTATAACTTATGAGTGACATTTCATATAAAGAATATAAAAGAAAGAAGAATTTACTGAAAACGTGCAAGATGGGTGCATTAACATAAATAAAATACAAATTCTTACCAGAAGCTAAAGTACCAATCAGAAATGGATCCAAGAAAGGTATCTGTGCCTAACTGCATCGAGATCTGGTGATGTATGTAAGATGAGCAATGACACGTCTTGCTTAAATAAAGTTAAATCAATCTTGTACTCGAAATTTGCTGGAAACAATAATACTAGACATAGCCAAGACTATGAATGGCTTGCAGTAAAAAAATTTGAAAGTAAATATAACTTGTCAGCAAATTCTTGAGCTCTATTCATTCGTAAGATATATGGATTCTTAGTTGCAAGTCCAAATGAAACAATAAAAAACGAAAATGCCATCGTCGAGGTGAAGTGTCCAGCGAATTTCAAGAGCTTACATCTATTCCAAGCAATAAATCAAAAAAAAAATTGTTTTCATAAACGATAACGGAAATTTTCAATTACATCGGAAGTATAATTATTACTATCATGTACAGATTCAACTTGAAATAGTAGACCTGGAAAAATGTTATTTTTTATGTTGGACATCCAAAGGCTTGGAAGTAGAAGTGGTGAATGTTACGTAGAAAAGACAAGTTTCGGGACTTCACGAATTCTGTTTTTAGTAATAAATTAATTTTTTATTATAGAGTTTTTAACGTGGCAATACCGATCGGCAAAGCCAATTGGCTTTGCTGAAATTTTAGTTAACACCCGATTCTATTTGCGTTTATTTATCCCTAAAAATGAGTGATGAGGAAGACCAACTTTTATTAGCAGCTGCTGCTGCAATTATTGTTAGTGAATGTGTTGTTAAAAAACGCACGAAATTGAAGAGAAGATTTTGGATTCGACCAAGCCTTCGAAACAGAAATAAATATCGGGGAAGTGATTTAATAAAAGAATTAATATTGGACGACGCTGATAATATAAACTTAGAATATAGAAGTGATGTTGGATTCAGAAACTTTTTTCGAATGACGAGTTCGGATTTTGAAGATTTACTAAATATGATAGGACCCAAAATTACCAAGAACGATACAAAATTTAGACAAGCCCTGGTATGGCTAGCGAACGTCTAGCAGTAACATTGCGATTTCTTGCTACAGGAGATTCTTACCACTCTCTTATGTATACTTTTAAAATTTCAAAGCAAGTTATTTCAAGAACTGTACCGGACGTTTGTGAAGCATTAATACACTCACTTCGAGATTATGTTAAGGTAAGAAATACAATGAGATTTTTTTATAATTTATTCATAAATAAAAAAATAAAAAACTCTATAATTGACACAAAATTGAATCAATATTTTCTGTTATTGACGTTGTGGAAGACATTGTGTCCGAAATCAAATGCACTTCTGAAGGAGTAGTAGATGTGGTTGGAGGTCTTAAATTTGTTGAGTAGTTTGCATGAACCATTGGTTGGGGTTGTGGGTAATGATATTGTTGGGACCCAAAAAAAGTTTTGTCGTATTTTCCCATTTCCGCCTCAAAGAGAGTGTTAGTTATTATGTGTTGTACCATAAATCGAGCATGAGGGCATGGTAATTTCCTGACTTTGATGGCAACCTGCTCGCCAAATATTGCGAACTCATCTTTTTCTTGCTTCTTTGTGTTTAATGACCTTAAAATGTTCATGGCTTCATGTAGTACAGGCGTAGTAGATGGAGATTCTCGTTTTCTTTTAAAAGATCTACTTGAAGATGATGTAGAAGATGCAGGTGTAGGTGGATTCTCTTCTGTTGGTGCATGTATTGAATTTTCTTCTATTGTCTCATCTTCTTGTTGAAGTGTTTCCTTAATCTGAAAGAAATTTTTCGTTACAGATGCCAAAAAATGAAAGAGATTGGGAGATTATAGCCCGAGAGTTCCAGGATAAATGGAACTTTCCACATTGTGTTGGTGCAATGGATGGGAAGCACATAACTCTACAAGCTCCTCTGAATAGTGGTTCCGATTTTTTAACTACAAGTCATTCTTCAGCATTGTACTATTTGCAGTGGTTGATGCAAATTACAACTTTATATATGCAAACGTTGGTTCTCAAGTAAGAATATCACATGGTGGCGTATTTAATGCAACACATTTCAAGAAATGTCTTAAAGAGAGCACATTGAATCTGCTTTCAGCCCTAGTTTTACCGGGACGGCACGTGGAAGTTGTATTTGTCTTTGTTGGGGATGACGCTTTTCCACTATCATGTAATATTATGAAACCTTTTCCGGGATTACAAAACAAGGATCTAAAACAAGGATTTTTAACTATCGATTAAGCAGGGCAACAAGGGTTTCGGAAAACGCGTTTGGAATATTGAGTTCAGTTTTTCGAATACTAAGAAAACCTATATTATTACAACCGGAAACAGCAACGAAAATAACATTGACTTTAATACATTTACATAATTACTTAAAGAAAAATAGATCAAAAAATCTTTACAGCCCCAAAGAATGCTTTGATTTAGAATCTACGGATACTGGAGATATTACTCCAGGATTATGGAGACAAGATGTTGCGCATTTCCAAATGATGAGTATTCCAAAAATACCTCGAAGGAGCACAAATGCAGCACAAGCTGTGAGAAACGAGTTTAAGGAATATTTTAATTCACCGGAAGAAGATTTACCATTTCAGCGCAAGCACAACTAATAAATTATTTTGTACTCTATACACTTAGTAAATATAAAATTAACTTACCTCTGTATCTCTAGTTTTTTTTTTGGTTTATTTCTATCCCTAAGAAATTCCATACTTTTATAGGCAAACCATTTGCTTTTATAGGAAGAATCTGAACCAGCAGAATTCCAGAATTCATCTTCTTTTTTAATTTCTCTTGAAAAATGGCTCAATAAATTTTTAAATTTTCTTTCAACTTCAGTCCTTTCCACTCCAAATGAAACAGCAATTTCTAAAAGCGCATCATGCCTCTTATTTTTATTCTTATAATCTGCTGAATTGCAATCCCATAGATTTGTACGCTCGCGGTACATATCAATAAGAATTATTGTATCAGAATTGGTCCACTCCATGTTGATTTAAACTCTTAATGAATTGGTAAAAATGATGTGTCGGTGGTCAGTACGTACACACTACTCGCATCGGCCCGGCTTTCTTTGATAAAAACCGACAAGAGTCGGGTTCGAATCGGCATGCCGGTCTGCTGATCGGCAAGGCCGCATAGGATGTCCCCACCACTGCGGATTTGCCGGTCGGCATAGCCAATCGACATAGTGGAGATGCACCTTAAGAGATAGTATATATATGGGTATAATACCCCTTAGAAGTTAGTTCCTACGTGAGTTGGAAGAGTTCGAATATAACATTAAAAAATCAGTACATATTCAAGAGAACAATATATCTCTTGTTTTTAAAGTCACTACTTTATGTTTGAATTATCATAATGTGGGCCGATCCTTGCGGTACTGCAATACAAGGCCAACCCGTGACAGAAGTGAAGCAAGCTCCTACCTTCTGTCTATTTCCAAAAATCAGTTTAATATACTGGCCCCGCATGCGGGGCGTATCAGATATTAAGCTGATAAGAACAGATACTACACTTTGATCTTAGCCATAGGCCGAGAAGCGATACTGAATCAAACAGCTTTTTGCCACTTAGTCCACGACATCCATACGATATTGAAAAGAATATTCGCGCGCCATCTATCGTTCAAAATCTGATAATGTCATGTAAGGTAAATTCAATTTCAGCGTCACAAAGCTTCACAAGTAGATTCGGTTTGATGATGGTTTTAATTAACCGAAATCGGTACCAAAGGTAATTAAAGTATCTCATCATCGTAACTGGAAATGGTGGCCCATGTTGCCTTTTTAAGCATATTTTCAAATTATGGTATTATTTAAATAATTTAATACAGTAAAACTTCGATATAACAGACTAATACAGGGTAAAATTGTAGTGGTTTATCTTCAGAACTTTGTGTGTTGCATAATGCTAATGGTAACAAAGCCTTCGTTAATGCATAGGATTTATGAGGGGAACCGGAAACAGGTGAGAAACTTTCGGGAATAGTAATTTCTGCCATCAAATTAGCCAACGAAACTTTCAATTCAGAAGAATATGCCATTGTATCAAATAATGCCTCTGTAACAGTGAAAATGGGTGGTATGTTAAAACATGTTGTCTGGTATAGCACTTGCAGCAGCCATACAGCTAACTTACTTGCAAAAAATGTTTTACGGGAGTTCAAAAATGTTGATCTGGAAAGAAAAATTATTCGAAAGGGTGGTCATAGGATGAAATTACCTTGCAATACTCGTTGGCGCTCCTATAGGGATGCTTATCAAATCTATACAAAAAACAATCACTTACTGTCAGTAATTGAAGCTAATAGAATCGAAAAAATTCTTGTAACATTTGAGAAACCAAAGAAGTGACATGAAAGGTTTTTAAAAAATTATAATATTTGAAAATGAGAAGTCTTGAAATTTGAATATAAAAATTTAAGTTCACTAGGTTCGAAAATTATGTATCTAAAGTTCCAAAACAATATCAAAAGACCAAAAAATTACAAATGTATTAATCTATCTTAATTGGTAAGTTAATTCGATCCTTTTCTCTCTGAATTATACTAATTTATGTTTATTTTAGTTTCGAATCATTTTATAACCAAATTTTACGACATACTACATTTTTCGCACATTCATTTGTAATTTTTGGTCTTTTGATATTGTTTTGGAACTTTAGATACATAATTTTCGAACCTAGTGAACTTAAATTTTTATATTCCATTTTCAAATTTCAAGATTTCTCATTTTCAAATCTTTTAAAAAACTTTTAATGCCAACTTCTTTGGTTTCTCAAATGTTACAAGAACTTTCTCGATTCGATTAGCTTCAATTACTGACAGTACGTTATTGCTTTTTCGTGATTTGAATTTTTATTATTGATACTTTTCTGCTGAGGATGAAAATTTGATTTCCGGAACCGGTAACGATAATAAACGCAAGTTAGAAGTTATTATTTGGTTTTTATTTATATGGAAATATTAAGGCGGTCATAATAGATGGTAGTTGTTTTAGTACCCATATCTGTCAAAGTATCCCTTAGCTACAAATTAACTTAATACCGGCTCGTAAAGTATAATACCTTACGAGCCGGTACATCGTCATTGCAACGTTTTCTACCGGATGATTAAAAGTTAGAATACAGCATTAATCGGCATAAATTACAGCACTATTTAATATTATAATTTAATTAATACTAATATCATATAAAAATAGTGAGAATGTTGATCATAGATAACTAGAGGTGTTGACAATATATTAATTTGCACACAAATTTAATCTAATTTTAATTTAATTCCTTCATTTCTGCCAATTTTGTAACTATATTTTTTTCTCAATTTAACCCTGTTCTCTTAGAAGTTAGTTCCTACGGGAGTTGGAACAGTTTGGATATGATATCAATAAATCAGTATGTATTCAAGAGATCAACATATGTCTCTTATGTTCTAAGTCACTATTTTATGTTTGAATTATGATAATGTGGGCCGATCCTTGCGGTACTGCAATACAAGGCCAACCCGTGACAGAAGTGGAGCAAGCCCCTACCTTCCGTCTATTTCCAAAAATCAGTTTAATATACTGGCCCCGCATGCGGGGCGTATCAGATATTAAGCTGATAAGAACAGATACTACACTTTGATCTTAGCCATAGGCCGAGAAGCGATACTGAACCAAACAGCTTTTTGCCACTTAGTTCACGACATCCATACGATATTGAAAAGAATATTCGCGCGCCATCTATCGTTCAAAATCTTATAATGTCATGTAAGGTAAATTCAATTTTGTGACGCTTCACAAGTAAAACCTCGATATAACAGACTAATACAGGGTAAAATTGTAGTGATTTATCTTTGTATTCAACATGATTAGTTTCTAAATGTCTTAAATGTTCTTCTATTAGATTTTAAAGATGTGCTTGGTAATACAGTTCCACACACAACACATTGTGGTAAATCAATATTACATCAAACGAATCGACATCAGTGTCATTTCTGGTTATTCTGTAACATAAGATCGCAACTCTTTTGTTTTCGAGCTATGAGCGATTAAAGTTCAGCCGAAAATTTACATCTTATTTTGTATTTCGGCTATAAGTAAACCGTAGAATTTGAAATTTTGTTTGTATGTACTTATTTATTGGTTAAAGCCATATTCTCAAGCAAACTATTATCTTTAAGGAAATAAGGGGTCCATTAAAGAATGAACATTACAACCCATAGTTTTTTATGTTCCATGGCTTTAAAAAGTTCTTATAAAAAAATCAAAAGGGTTGTGAATTTCATCCCCTTAGAGGGCGCTAGACAAGCTTAAGGTATGCTTGAAAATAAGGTGTTAACCAGTAGTAAACACATACAAAATTGCAAATTCTACGGTTTACTTATAGCTGAAATAAAAAATTAAATGTAATTTTTGGCTCAACTTTGATTTGGAACGATTTTTAACATTTTCAAAAATATGTGTATTACCACTTAACTAAGAAACATGGAATTTTTTTCTTATTTTTACCAGAACAGTTATGGGTTGGCTTCTCGTCCGATACCTGCTTGACGTTGAGTTTCGGGACACTCTGTATTGCATATTGGAAACATGCGTAATACATGTTATTATATCATCGATATGTGATTTGATCATCATCGCTTCATCTGCTATTTCATTTTCCATGGTAATACGATACTCATGGTTACCTTTATCATATTATTATGGTTACCTTTATAAAATGGATTCGGACGAACTAAGAAGAATGAAGAATAATCTGGATGCAATCTTCACTGTAGCAGAAGTTACGAAGGATAGTAAATTCAGGGATCTGTATAAGGCTAAAAAGAAAGATTTCAGAAGACTTATAGCTGAAACAAAAAAAGAAGCTTACAAAGATTATGTGAATGATTCTGAAAATAAGATAGCTGCTGCATGGAATGTTGTGAAACAGGAAAC